TTGGGTTTCATCTTTCGATTTCTTCTTCCTGCTCAAATGTAACCAGTATTAGTTTGCAGATTTCTGAAGGTTCGTTCTGTATAAGCGGTACATCTGCCTTAATTACCAACTTTTTGTTAATTATGAGTCAGCGTGGTCTCAATGGGGCCATGTGTAGAAGTTCACGAAAGTGAAGAAAGTTTTTGACTGCCATTCACCACGGAGTGGCCCGAAACTATTCTCTAGCATTTGGTTCAAGCAGCTCACGACTTCCGGTCTTAAACCAAGAATTCCCTCGCCAACCTCGCCATTAGTTCTGCTTTCTCCAGGCTTGATAAAGAAGCGAAGCGAATGGGTCATCAAACGAACAGTCATCGCATTCACGACTCGGCTCTCAGGTCGCTGTTGAAAGTAATAACTTTGAAGTCGTAGATCATTTTGTCTATCGAAGAACCACCATCAAAATCAATAATAATGTCAGCCTTGAAATCCAGCGCAGAATCACTCTTGCCAACAGGTGCTACTTTGGACTGAGTAAGCAATTGAAAAGTAAAGTCCTTTCTCGGCGAACGAAACCCAAACTCTACAAGTCGCTCATCATACCCGTTCTACTATCTGGCGCAAAGGCGTGGATGATGTAAACAGCTGATGAGTCGGATTTTGGAGTCTTCGAAAGAAAAGTTTTGGGAACGATAAGTTATACGATGATATTGACATAGCTCAGCGAATGAAGAGACAGCGGATGCGCTGGCTAGGTGACGTCGTCAGAATGAAATGAAAGCACTCCAGCTTTGAAAGTATGCCGGTGGAGGCAAAGGAAGAGGAAGGTCTCCACTCTGTTTGAAGGATCAAAAAGGATGAATGGCGCGCTATAATTAATTCGGTTATAATCGCGTGTACGCATGCCAAAAACACTGGAAACATGTCTTCTGTCAATCACAGCATGATCGATCTAGTTTTGTGTTTCAGAACCAGGAGACAGCCAAGGCCCTGGCGAAGTCGATCACTCTCAACCCATTTGCAAATGTTTTGACACTAAATTTGCGCTCCTTTATGTGGCCGCTGTTGTAAATGTCACAAGGACCTACGCTTTTCTGTCGTTATCTCGTCCATAGTACTTCTTGAAAGCCGGTGATGTCAGCCTTTATTGTAACGAGGACATCAACCAGATGGGAAGCGGCACCTTCCCTATTAAGGGACCGGACGCTCCAGGTGCATGCGCTCAAATTGGGATCCTTAATTCGTTTGCGGTGGTCGTCATAAGGAAGGGGGTATCTCATCCGAGGTTTTATACATTTTTTCATTGGAGAAGGTTTCTAGGGGGCGGGTCCCTCAGCGACCATAAACCGAATAAGTCAGAGTTGCTCCACTGAAGTGTCTTCGCTTTTAGCCGTTACCCAAGGCTCCACACGGTTTGGTTACCGCATTTTGCACAAGGATTGCTCACGTTTGAAGGGCACGACATGGACGAAAAAGTAAGAATTGAGTATAGGCTGCTACCTAGAAGCTTGACTACGGCCCAGTAGGAATTGAGTAAAGCCCGCTACTGTAACTGCATACCTAGCAGCTTGATTATACCCCATTAAACTACATCATTATATACATATCTGTATCTGTGGACTTTCAAACTCCCTAAATGATGGCTTGGGTTATTAGCACCTGGAACTGATTCGTCATTTTATCTCTGTTGTTGTTTTTAATGTTTTCAGACTGATATCTGTTTATTTGTGTATTTATTTTTATGAGTTGCAAATTCATTTCATTAATATTTTGGTTTATAATGTTTGCCAAAGAATTCATCAATCACACTAAACTTTTGGATGTTGAGCAGTGTTCCTTTATTGGACTCTGTTTGTTCTTGGTTTGCTTCATCCATGAACCCAAACGACCTATTGTAGAACTAATCCATTTCGAAGCCCTTTGTTATACGCAATCTAGGCGTTTCATATTCCGATAACAAGTTGGTATCTTGTTCATTTACTGAAAATATGAATGCGGATCATAGTTTATAATTAAACCTCAAGTTGAGGTTATAACTGATAGCTGTGTTATCTGGAAGTTGAGTAACTACTTCATTGCTTCCTGTTTGACCACCGATTGACTCCATTTCTCCCAAAACAGGTATAAACGCAAATATGTTTTTATTTATTGTCTTTTGGCGATTTAGTTGGCCTTAATGTAGTCGATACTTGTGCTTTTGTTTCGTCCGTTGATATTTCCTGATTGCTGGTTGACCATGCTAGGGGACTTAATTTATGGATTGGTGGTTTCACATGATTTTTGTTTCCGCTAAGAGCACCTTATTTCCCAAAGTCCGTCATTTTGTACTCCACTATATATATAACACAACTTGATGTCTACGCTCTGACTAATGGAAGATGAGCTGTGTTGCGAAAGCTTGCTTGAATCGTATGCATTTGCAAAATTTACGTATACAATGTTTCACTCCATTTTTAAATCCGAATATCAAGATTGTCGTCTGATGACTGCTTCTGTTAACCGACTTAAACCATATAAGGTTGCATTATTGGCATATTTTATTAGTAATGTCATCAAGTTGGTTTTTGTAAGATTATGGGATGCTTTGCCTTACATGGTAGCGTTGAATTTGAAATCCCACCTCCACCATGATCGTGTAAGTAGCTGTCTGAGGTTCCTCAGCCGACAGATGCGATAAATTGGGTGTTTTACGAGTGCGTAAAATGTATGTTACCACTCTTTGTAGTTTTAGCCAATTTCATTATTTAAAAATCAAATTGTCCATTAAGGAATCTATATCTCTTGACCTCAATGAAACCGTTATTTTGCTGCGTTAATCGTTGTTAACTCTAGTTCTTTTGCTACGTTTCACCAAATATCCTTACTTACAATCCAGGCATCACCGAGTCCGTGAATTTCTATTTCACATTCCATGTTAATTTTAATCCGGTGTGGAATACATACTTCTTGGGATGCGATTAAAATCACCGTTGTAACACGCGCTTTTGTAGACATTGCCGGCTTCTTTTGAACATTATCGAAATCCAGGAGTTCGTGATAATTGCTGATGTTGCATATTTTACAGTTCATAGTGCTGGCACCAGTATCTCTCCATTTGTGAAGCAGGCACCTTTATCAGATTTCATTGTTTTTGGTATATTTATATTATGTCTTTCATCCATGAGAAACGCTTGATATATAATATAATATAATTTGTTATTTTGCAGTAAGTGCACTGCCTAAATGATTTCCTCGCATTGGTCGATATATGATTCGCTATAAATATGTGATATTTTGCGATTTTATAACCTTGCTTCTTTTCTGCAACCACTTTTAATGTCTGGAAATGTCGTAGGTTTCGGCAGTACTAGAAAAAGAGCTGGTACAATAAAGAATGCCGAACTGCAATGGACAGAAAGCAGACCGCCCTGCGATCGACCACAACACGTGCGGGATAAGATAGAGCTGAAGAGGGAAGCGATACGCATATAAAGAAAAAAAAGAAGGAGGCTGAAATGCGTGTGTAGGAATGGGTTATGCTCAAAAGTTCCACGAAAAGATTCTGCGACTTGCGGCAGATTACAAGACCGGAACAAGGACCCAGAGAGGTGATCTAGTGACGGATGCCAAGAGTACACTGAACTTATCGAGGGAACTCTTCTCCTGCTGATCGGCAGTGAAATTGAATCACCCAGAGATGGTGACCCCAATCGACAGACGTTACGCTACCTGACCATGTCGAAGATCGAAAAGCGATTGTTGGCTTAAAAAATAACAAAGCGACTGTAGCTGACGGTATACAGGCAGAACTATGGTGATAATGGTGAAGAGCTGACAAGGTGCATTGTAACGGCAGCCTTTTAGCTCATTGGGTTAACTATAAATAAATACACAGCCTCGTTCATATGTACATTAATACACATTCCCCGCTTACACAAAACTCTCCACTCTTTTGAACTGTCATGTTAAACGGCTAATGCTTACGAAAAACAGAAAAAAAATGTTGCGATGGATAGCTATCGGGGAAAAGAAAGCAATAAATAGGGATCCAGCAGAATAATTGTGAAGTTTTTAAAAATATTGCTTAAGGTTTATTAAAGGCGAAACGTGATTGATAAGATAATAAAACCTAAAGTTAAAACACTTGTGAAAGCACACCCATATTCCTGGGATCGAGACTTTCAGATATAACAACGTCTAAAAACAACGTCTAAAAGATCGGTATTCTAACAACAGGCAATAACATTTGCATACATAGCTCCGAGGTTCCGAGCTCCGACATCCAATCATCAGTCAACGACACGAAGAAAAAAAGCAAAAATCAATCACCACGGTCATCCAAACTTCCATATCGGTAGAAATCAACAACTTCCGAACCCAACCCTCGTTCCACCTGCATGATCTTCCTGCAATTTCTGTATTTTATTTATACAATTCTTCACTTTTTTATAATTTTATTCTTAATTTGTTTTATTCTCTATTAATATAACTTCGTTCCGTTGAAATAGAATATATCGATTCCATTTTTTTGTACTATTAATATCTGCACATTTATGTAAATTTCGTATAAACTTCTCAATCTTTTCAACCGCCGATTTTTATAATCTGTATATATTCTTTGTTATTAGAATTTCTTTTATCAACATTTCTTTTCTTTCGAATGTTTTTCCTTCCTTTTTTCATGCTAGTTAATTAAACTCATATCTATATATGTACATATATGTAAATATACGCATGTACATATATTGACATCAAACGTATATATGTATGTATAATTTTCTTTCATACGGTATATTTTATTCTTCATACGTTCGGAAAAGAATTAAAAAAATTCTATTCAATTTCCTGAATAGGATCCCAATCCCACCATACGCGGCATTTTGTTATCGTCAATAATTTTTTACATTCGACTCAATTGGTTTACAGATAAATATTTTAAATTATTATACACACTACTTCGCACTTTTGTATTACACTAAACGGTCTAGTTCCAAATTAGACATATGCATGTATGTTCACATGTATGACCATTTCCATTCTAGCACTTTCCAGGTTCCCTCTCTGCTGGCGCTAGCATCGTGGGACTGAAGTCGATACCGGTGAGTGTGCTCATTATTATATTACATACTTACATACCAGTATTACAAATTGTGGTACTCAAGAAAAAAAATGTAAAAACTTAATAAATAATGTATTCAGAAAGAAGCAAAAAAGGAGATATTTACATAAAGGAAGTGAGGGGAACTAAAGGAGCAAAGGATGGGGGGGGGGGGTGTGTGATTAAAAATAGTCTGTTAATTTCACCTTACTAATTTTAAAATTCGTAAAATTTTATTTAAACATAGGAAGTGTAATAAGAGAATTTCGCTTATGTTACCTTTACATTTGTTTAATATTTTTCATTTCATTTACGGGTTTAAGTAAATAAAAATATTTCAGCTGAAGTCAGAATTTGTTTAAAAATGGAATATATACTTCACTTTCAGGTTTGTTGTTGGTACTGCCCTTGTGCAGAAAAGGTGCGCCTAGACAGACGAATGATATGACAAACTAACGACGGACAACATATTAAGGCACCAGGGGACTTTACCATAAGCAAGAGTCCAGGCGAAATCCAGAGTATAAGTGCGAGCAGTGCCTATGAATGAAAGGAAGACTCACTCTGACTAGACAGAGAACTGATTTATGCAAAACCAAATATTCATTTTTTTTTAGATTCTACCCTGGCACAAACATTTTTCTATTTTTTTTTTTTTTTTTTTTGGTAACCGTGGGCACCAGCGACGTGGTAAGAACTGCCTCCTATATCCGACGATCTAGCCAGAACCTCGAGCCGTTACTTCGCAGACGCCCTTTCACCGCAGTTACAAAAAAAAAATGGCACTGAACGAACGAACAAATGCTGATGATACTTTCTGGATGACGAGGTAAATATTTTTTGTGCTAGCGGTCACAGGAATAAGGCGATTAGGACTCACGGTGTTGTGTCATCACGATGTTGTTAGTATACAGGAAAACACAGATCTCGCCTTTGAAGGCTTGTGGGGAACTTACTTATAGCATACAATGATTTCCAAAGACAAGATCGACAAAAAGTCTCTGCTCTGTGATCGTGTTGTTATGCTGAGATCATGCAGTTGAAGCTACCGCATGTGAAGTTCAACGTTCAAATACATATATATTGTATATATAAAAGATACAATTTTTACACGTTAGAGATATTCTATTTTAATTTTATTCTCTTTTGATAGAGACACTTTTGAGTACATCCATCCATATATCCATTTGCTTATAAATATAATATTTTTTATTGTTATTTTTAGTCCTTACTCCCTTATACAATTTTTTTCTTTTTCATTTCGAAATATTTGGAGCACAGCATTATTTTTGCGGAGTAGTTTGACAGAGTCCTGATGTCCGAGGTCGAAAAAGGAAGCCTTCGTAAAGGTAGGTCTCGCCCATCCAGGGTATGTTTACTACCAGGTGAGGAGCCACAATCACCGTTACAAGGTACAGGTCCTAGTTTAGGACAAGCAAACATAGATAACATGATGACACTGATGGGACAACAAAACAAAATACTGGTACAGTGTATGAATGAGGCCCGGTGAATACTGCTGATGTGGAGACGTCGGCTGAAAACATAATCAACGCCCCAGGTATGGAATCAACTCCGGAAACGAGAAGACATGAAACAGTTAGCTTTTCGCAGCGAGAGGCCACGAGAGTGGTGGAGGATATGGGATGTTTGGAAGAAGACGGCGATGTCACCAGGAGAAGAAAGCTCGATCTGGAAAAGTGGCACCTTATGCTCGGAATTGGGAAACCCATCATTGTTGAAAGCTTTTTATTTCCAGTAGAGCAAATGCGAGCTTAATACAATATCTCCCTTTATCAACTCTTCTCCGATTTCCATTGTTTGGCAATGCACTGAAATTGTATAGGCAAATAATAGAGGACCATGCAAATGACACGAACTTTGATTTTTTACTTAAGGCGGAAATTCTAAAGCACTTTAAAACGGCGAAGATGAATACAACTCGAAAGTTTTGATGATTTTTACAGTGAAGTCCACAACTTAGCATTCGGCTTGCATTATAAGATTCAAGAGGAAGAGCCAGTGGGCATCCTTAAGTCGAACCTAAATCCATATCTCCTTAATAAGATCTTCGCTTTGCGCATGGATACTTTAGCGGACTTGAAATCGGAATGTAGGGGACAGAAAGAGTGGCCGGAGAAAATCACGCGCGTGTTGGGGCAGTAAATGTATTGAACTGCACAACTGATAGCGATCAAATAGCCTTGTAGAGGCAAAAAATGGCAATAAAGACAGGTCGGGTATTAGAGCCTCGGCTAAAATGCCATGAGGTGGCTTGAAGGAATGGAAGAAAAGATTATGTTTATTCGAAGCCAATGTCTCAAAATGGTGAGTAGTAGAGCTCGTATGTGACCTGAGTTTCGATACGGTGCAGCACTAGTTGATAACCTAGAAAACAGCGATGCTAGAAATTGTCAAGACGCAGTTCCCGTCCTTTGCAATACTAGGGCTAGGAAAGAAAAGCTTGATAGGATGTTAGGCATGTGTTCATCGAAGAAAGCAACAATACTTGGAGCTCACCTGTATCTCTAGTTATACAAGGCACTCTTGTAAAGTTAACGAAAGAACTGTTAAAGATGCCTATCCTCTACCTCACATCGAAGGAATTTTAAGCCGACTGCAAAACACGAGGTTCATATCCGAACTTGACTTAAAGGATGCGTTTTGGCAAGTCCCTCTAGAAAAAAAGTCGAGGGAGAAAACAGCGCCTGGTAGTTCCCTCTATTTCTTTACAGTAATGCCCATCAGGCTGTGCAGAGCAGCGCAGACGATGTGTAGGTTAATGGATAAAGTTCTTCCGTCTTCTTTGCGGGAATGTGTGTACGTTTATTTAGATGACTCCGAAGATTTTTCGTCAAATGTGTTTGTTAGATAACATCACAAGGTACTTGCGTGAGGCGAATCTTAGCATCAAGGTCCAGAAAAGTAAGTTCTGCTTTCGTGAAGTTAGGTATCTTGGATACGTGGTAGACGACGGTTACATTCGAACTGAAGCAAATAAAGTTGCAGCTCCGACGGTTTCTAGGGATGACTGGGTGGTACAGACAGTTCATTCAGCAGTCATCGCTGTAACCCTACACGACTACCTCACTGAGAAAAAAGTTAAAAAATTCATAATGACAGAAAATGTCAAAAGAGATTTCGAAAAAGTAAAGAAAAGTTTAATCTTAGCTCCGGGAAGAATACTTTTTCAACTAGACAATGAAAATAATGAGCACCCCGTAGCCTTCATGTCAGCAAAATTGAACAAAACACAGAAAAATTATATTATTACTCAGCAGGAATGTTATGCCGCGGTACTGAGCGAAAAAAATTTTAGGCCTTATGTAAAAGGTCTGCCGTTTTCGAATATCAGCGATCATCCCAGCCTTAAATGGCTAATGAACCAAAGAGACTTATCGGGATGATTGGCAAGATAGAACGGGAAACTATAAGCTTTTGACTTCACCATCCTGCACAGAAAAAGCGCTAAGTACGTTATTCCAGGCGCACTGTCGATAATAGACATAGACGAGCTAAACAAACTTGAAAGGATGCTGGATATCTACTTTGAATCGCGGAATTTTCGAACCGCTGAGTACTCCGAACTGAAAAAGGCCGTTTCAGAAAACATAGAAAAACTATTGGACTCCTGCGTACCCGACGGATTCGTTTACAAACGTACACAGTTTATCAATGAAACCCAATATTGGAAACTCTACGTACCATCGGAACTACGACAAGGCTTAGTGAAAGTATCTCACTGCTCGCCTTCATCAGGACATTGAGGAATTCCCAGAAAAATAAAACTAGCCAGGCATAATTGCCGATGTGCAGAGCTTCTGTAAAAACTGCGATCTGCGCAACGCATTTCACAAGCTCACGAAGGGTAAACAACATGTAACCATTCCAATCCTATTAGTATATTGATTTTTTGGGTTCTCTCGTTCGTCTGATAGTAACTGTTTCGTGTTTGTTTATCTTGACCATTTCTCGAAATTTGTATTTCTCAAGCCAATGGGCAACAACAGATGACGTGGTGAAATACCTAAAAGAGGAAGGATAACGGAAAACAATTTATTTCCGAATTCGTCACATTTCGCAAAATTCCAATCTCCGCAATGGAAATGCAGCCGAAAGAGTAAGCCGATCAGTTCTCCAGATCATATGTTCATACATTAAAGAGAACCAGAAAAACTGGGATAAACATATGAGTACTGCAGAATTCGCCCTACGAAGTACGGATCACAGTGGAGTTCAAGTGTCTTCATGTCTTACCGTATGCACGACACGGCACAACTTACATTAAGAGTATACTGCGAAAACTAAATTTAGTAAAAGACACTGGCAGTGAAGTAGTCATTGGAGGAGCAGACAAACCTCAAATGGTTAGGATTAAAATCATAAAAGAATTAAATGTAGCACATTATACGAGCAGTAAAGTATGCAACACCAGAAGTATGGAGGTAAAATTCAAACAGAGCTCGAACGCAATGAAATATATGTACTCTTTGCTGAGAAACTGTGTAACCTGCAGTATGGCTAACGACTAATTTACATTGCGATATAAATCAGGCATAAGGTGCCGGTAAGAAGTTATAGAATAGAAATAGTAAGGACGACACAAATAGAGCCCGGCTTTAATCGGTAAAAATCAACAACTTTCGAGCACGACCCTCGTTTCACCCGCATGATCTTCCTGTATTTTCTGTATTTTATTTATACAATTCCTCACTTTTTTATAATTTTATCCTTGTTTGTTTATTCTGTATTAATTAAAATTTTTTTAGGTTGAAATAGAATATATCGATACCATTTTTTTAGTACTGTTAACATCTGCACATTTATGTAAATATCGTATAAACTTCTTTTTAATCGATGATTTTTATAATCTCTAAATATTTTTTGTTTTTATAATTTCTCTTATTAACTTTTCTTTTTCCTTCAAATGTGTTCCCTTCCTTTTTTCATGATAGTCAATTACACTTTTACCTATATACAATATGTAAATTTTATTCTTTA